TTTGCCCGGAGACCCACCTTTCAACCAATACAACAATCATTATGACGTTGCTTCGTACAAAAGGATATGCAACGAGTTCGGTATAGACCCCTCGAGCGATTTCCGCTACACGCACGGTGAAAAACACGGTCTGGGAAGCGTTTAGGTCTATGCGAGAGGAGGGTCGAAAACTGACTACCTATACCCGGGATGGAACAAATTCAGCGTTGAAGGCGAGAAAGCGATAAAAGGGGACTTGATTTATTACATCGAGCCGGGTGCCGCTTCTGATACCCAATCGGACTGGTTCGCCCCAAACACAGCATCAGGTTTGACGCAGGCGGGCTTGGCACAAATCAACCAGTCAATCGAGGCTTTCGTTTATTGTATCCTAGGCGCGCAAGTCAACGTCCGCAGCAGCATTCTCGGTTCGGGCGGCCGGGCGAGAGAAGCCCAGAGCGAGCTCCTGGTGCTGGTAGAAGACGCGATCAGACAGCCAGACCTGGCCAAGAGCGTGCAAAGGTACCAGCTCGCGGTGGATCAAGCCAAGGTCAAGCTCAATCTCGCTGTAGCCCGCCTGGCCTGGCTCATGCCCGCGCAAATGATTATCAACACAGCAAGCACGGTCGGTTACAACAACAAGCTGAAACAGGCGGTCTCGGGGATGAAACTGGGAGTAAACAACGAGGTAAACCCGGAGACAAAAAAACTCATGGAAGGCGGCCCGTCAAAAATTAACCCCCCCAACAGCCACCCGTCCAACCCGATAAACAAAGCCGCAACAGCCGAATCAAGGAGGGGCAAGCCCCTCGACCCGGGGCGTGGGGTTCCACCCCACAGGAAACCAGCTTCGACCGAAACTGAACAAGCATAGCCGACGGCGCAAAAAACAGAGCCCACGGCTCCAGATAAAACACCGCAACACGAAATTAACAAAACGGCGGTAATTGTCGGTGTAGTCGGATTATCGGCTTTGCTGTTCATGGCTTCGCGGTAAGCTAACGCTGCTTCTTAAAATATTGTTCGAACAAAAAGGCAACCGCCACAAGAATGAGCAGCCAGGTATGCTCGGCCAGAAACCCGACGACTTGGCCGGCAGCTTTGAAAAGGAAGCTCACAATCGAGCCAATCAGCCTGGGCAGCAGAGAACCAAGTTTCGCGGCAATATCTTTAAGGCCATTTCCCAAAGCTTTGCCGGTAGCTTTCAAACCTCTGGTGAGAGCCCCGATGACAGCTCCGATTGTGACCCCGGCGGCGAGAAGAATAGCGGACAATGTCACGCCATGTTTTTTGAAGATTTCCTTGACCCTTTCCAAGAGAGGCCGCCCCCTTTCCCTTTCC